TTTTCCCATTTTAAATTTCACAAAACATTAATTCCTAATATAGTATTTTGGGGGGTGGGGGTGGGCGGACGGAAAGGTTCAGGTATCTGGCTACAAAGGCACTGAAGGTGCACAGCAACTCTGAAGATCAGGCTATGTACTTAGGCACCTAACATTAGGCCTTAACTTTGAAAATTTTGCCCTCGGTGTTTCAAATGAACTATTGGGCATGCATGCTACTACATTTTTTTTAAACAATACTCATCAGCACTTTTAACAATGTGCCTGGAAGCCCATCCTTGTGATAGACTGTAAAGGATCTGGCAGAGATCAATAAATATAGAGCAATGAAGAATTTAAATAGTAAATGATAATAGCACCTTTGGTTCATGGTATGTCAGACTGTGGTCTCAGCTACCACAATATGGTAGCATCAGGGAGATATTCTCTTTTTAATATAGACCACCGTAGTAGATTTAGCACAATAGACTTAGAGACACACAAGCACATTCTTAAATTATCCTAAATATGATTTTAATAGTCAGGGGCGAACCTTGGAAGGCTGGCAACTTTGATTCAAATAAACATCTAAAAAAGTGCTTGTTAAATTCTCATACGATGCAAAATAATCTGTCCTTTTTTGTGTAGAAATTATTTTGAAAGTCTGATAAGGACTGTAATAGGCCTAACTGGTGCTATGGAACCTAGAAAGAACCTTCCATGCATCATTTGTGTAGGGACTAAATGCTCCAAAGTTCCCATCTGTAGCTGGAAGGCAGACTCCGTGTCTTGCTGTTCTGACTTACTGGGCCAGACCTGCTCTTTCAATTACAAATATATTAAAATGCTCAAGATATGTAGGATGGGTTTAAAACATGGTTAAGGCAAAACAATCAAACATCACAAACATTTTGTGAGGGTGTGTTCCCCGTGGCTCCACTGAGATGGAAGTGCTTGCTTACCTGTTTTCCGAGCTTTCACCCTTCTGTATACACTGGGTGGCACAGAGTCTATAAAGAGCCTCTCCTGTAGGTCCCACTCCTGGGTTCTTGTTTTGTGGGAAAACTTTTTCTCTCTGAATTTTTAAACTTCAGCTGTCAAGAATTTATAAGGCCTGTGAGCACATTGTCAGCAGAGCTTGTAATTGCTGTGAGCCCCACAGTCTACTATATGTAACTGTGCCTGTGGAATTCATTAATTTCTGAGGCCTGAAATTTGGGGCTTATTCATGTGATCATAAGCTCCAAAAGCTATTTCAGCAAAATTTCTAACTATTGCTTTCTACCTTCCCTCAGGTTATTCACCAGTGATATGACATAATCTGCAGGGGCAGAGATAGACACCTATTTCATCTTTTTTTTCCCTCCTCAGTATCAGCTTGTGTACTGCTTGTTGACAAAACTGTGATCCCTTTTCAATCAAGGGCCTGAATGTGAAGGCTGTAAGCACCCGTCTTTAAAGTACCCAAAGATCCCTTCTATCCAATGTGGGCTGACTGGACGTGTGGAAGAGTAAACTGTTGTAATTCATATACTCTAAGGCAGTGGTTTTCAAATCTTTTTTCTGGGGACCCTGTTGAAGAAAATTGTTGATCCCACAACCCAGCAGAGCTGGAGATGAGGGGTTTGGGGTATGGGAGGGGCTCAGGGCTGGGGCAGAGTGTTGGGGTGAGGGCTGCAGGGTGGGACTGGAATGAGGGGTTCAGGGTGTTGGAGGGGGCTCTGGGCTGTGGGAGGGGGTCAGGGCTCTGGGGTGGCGGTGCAGGCTCTGGGTGGGGCCAGGGATGAGGGGTTTGGTGTGCAGGAAGGGGTTCCAGGTTTGGGGGGTGGGGCTCAGGGCTGGGACAGGGGATTGGAGTGTAGGATTGGGGTGCAGACTTACGTCTGGTGGCTCCCGGTCAGCGGCACAACGGGGTGCAAAGCCAGGCTTCCTGCCTCTCCTGGCAAAATGGCCCGCGCTGTGGCCCGGAAACGGCCAGCAACAGGGCCGGCTCCTAGGCAGAGAAGTGTAAGCGGTTTCGCGTGACACTCGCCCGCAGGCACCGCCCCCCCTCCCCCCTCCCACAGCTCCCACTGGCCGGTGCTTAGGGCAGGGGCAGCGCACGGAGCCCCGTGGCCCCTCTGTCTAGAAGTCTGATCCATTGCTGGCCACTTCCAGGGTGCAGCACAGTATCAGAACGGGTAGGCACTAGCCTGCATTAGCTGGGTAGCACTGCCCATGGGACTTCTAATGTCCCGGTTGGCGGTGCTGACCAGAGCAAGGCAACCCAGTGCCTTACATGCCGCGACCCATAGTTTAAAAAACACTGCTCTAAGGGACAGACTAAAGTGACAGCTAGCTACTCCAGACTGTGCGTACAGGATGCACACTTATATAGGGAAGATGTTGGAAGTTTAACTACAAATTTCTTGAGTGTCTGCTCTTCAGGATTTTTAAACCTATAAAGAACTATTTTCTGTTCTTGCGCTGTAGCATTTTCATAGGTTGAATGAAAAGTAGAATTTGGTACTAATAGTCTATTAATGTTGTTCTAAAGGGTAATATCTTCTCCTCTTTAACTTTCTCTTAACCAAACTGTATATCTGGGAGTAAAAATTGATTTAGATAAGGACTAGTGATCATTTTTTGGATTAAAATAGGTTTAAAGTATTTTTTCCTAGTGCATATATGAAATGTGCTCTTCCTGGTTTAGGCCTCAATATTGCAAATACTCAGCACATGGGTAACTGTTAAGCACATGCTTAAGTGTTTGCAGAATGGTGACATTAATATATTAATTGTCCATCTCCTGTTTTAAAAACCTTGTATTTCTGTTAATTTGTTTTTATGTTCGACTTAAAAATAAACTTGTATGTTTTCATTGGCCTTGAGCCTAAGTTTTTAACGGTAAATATATTAATTTAAGGTGACAGAGAACCTATTTATCATGATTACCCTCACAGCGTTCCTCTATAATACATAGAAGGAACGGGAAGACAACTCCTAGCCCACAGAACTTAAACAAAATAGGAGTTACTTGGAGAAAGCTGTAATTCTTGCTAATTTTCCGTCTACAAATCAAACACCAAAGTCACTTCTTGTGGTTGTCTTTTTTGGGTCTGTAGGAGTCAGCAGCTTAATTTCTTGGTATTCTTTGGTTCTGAACAAGTCTAGAATATCAGAAAAAGTAGTTTTCTTGTATTCTGGTGATTCCACTTCTATCTGAAAGCAGGAATTGGAGGAAAGTCTGAATGGAACTGAAAAAAATTAACCAAACTTTTTCACACGCAAGATTTTTATCTGAGTTTTTGACAGTAGTTCTGATCAGACCTTAATTTTTCTGAACAATTTAATCAGTTAAATCCAGTCTATTAATTACCTAGAAATCTACATGAATTTATACTAATACTTTACCAGTCCACCCCTCCCCCTCTAAATCTTGAAGGTGAGGTAAAGAAAAAGAGAGAACATATGTAGCAAAATAAAGCAAACATTTTGAAAGTGTATTGCTTGTGACTGCTATAGGAATAAAATTTCGCATAAGATAAAAGTAGTTCATAGAAGACATTTATTTTGGGGACTGATTGTTTTAAGTGCTCTCCATTCTATTTTTAGAGAGTATACATTTTTTAAAACAGAAATATTTTAGCAGTAGCTATATTGAAAAACAAAGTTGCAAAAGATTGTTACAAGGCTACATTAATTAGCTTTTCATTTCCGCATTATCTTTAGCAAACCAGCCTAATTTCTAAATCAAGTTGCTTCCAAGTCATCATTATGCAATTGAATAAAGAATCTTAACCAGGAAATTTACTTCATTAAGGGAAAAGAAATGCCTAAATCTGTCAACACTCACTTGCAATCATTGTCCTCTTCCTGGTCAAAGAGGGTGGATGACTAACTCTTGGCAATATGTGAAGTGGCCCCCTTGTTTTAGCTTCACACTTTCTCTAAACAGTGGATTAACATCCATTGGTTTATGTAACTTCTTGTAGTGTGATTAAATTTGGATCTGCTTACGGTTGAAGAAACATCCAGCAGACTTTTGTTAGATGGCGAGCCTTCCCTTCTGCTCTTTTCAACACTGTTTCTGGAGGTTCCAACACCCTAAATGACATAAGGAAATGGAAATCAGACTGGCAAAGAGAGTGGGAATTTTTTTCTACCTGATTATTTTTCTTGAGATTTTTACGTCAATCCAGATGCCTTCTTTTTTCAGATTAGCAACTGCTGATGTATAGTTTACATTTTAATGCCTACAGAGAAGCCATGTGTTTCAAGATATTCTGTAAGCAGGTTTCATGTGACCCTCATTGAGCCAGCAAGCAGCAAAAAAATATTAGCATCATCTCCAGCAGCTAGCAGGGAGGTACTATATTCCACATCTGAACCATCATAGAGGATCTCAAAAATTTTCAGGAAGGAAATATTTCCCATTTAAGTGGGCCAAATTGTGTCTTCAGAGGTGCTCATTGTGCCTTTCTAACTCAGTAGGGTTGCATGCATCTAATTGGTGGCACAGTGTATGGACCACTTTGTTGTAATTATATGTTGACTGTTTTTCATATTGGTTTGATATCCTTAAAATATGGCGTGCATAGGGAAATCGATTGAAATAGCTATTGCAGTCAAAGCTATTCCGCACTAGTTCCCTGTGTGGATATCCTGTTCTGAAATAAGTCACTTTATTTTGAAACAACAATTATTCTGCAATAAAACAACTTTTATTCCAGAATAGAGTGTTCACACGGGGAGGCATAGCTCATTCTACAATAGCTGCTCCAGTCAGTTTCCCCATGTAGACAAGCTCTTGGGTAAATGACTACTAATGTAATGTCTTCCTTTCTCATTCAAAACATATAAATTCTCATCCAAAGATATGTCAGCCATTTCCAGTTGCAACATCTCTTATGTACATTATTGAGTTCTCCACTTAAATTCCTTTGACTGCCTTTCTTGTCTGTCTTAATGTGTTTTTTATAGATATTCCTCATGTATTCCTTAGTACAGGTTCATGTGTGTTTTTGCTCCCTCTTTCTTAGTGATATGACAAGAACAGTAGAGATTTCTGGGGAAGGTGGCCCTCTGGGGATACATGTAGTACCCTTCTTTTCATCTCTGAGTGGAAGGTAAGATGTTTTCCATATTTTAGAGAAGCGTGTTAATGAAAAAGGCATCGATGTGTTTGTTTATCTTAAAATATCTCTACTGTGAAAACATGAGGGGGAACTAAAACTGTTTTTTTAACAGCGGATAACCAAGCTCAGTATAGCGTATCCCTTCACTGACATCTATGTTGTTGTGTGTGTATATTCAGAGAACAAAACCCATTTCTGTTATATGTTCATAATGTTTGTACTTTCAAGGATCTCTGAATTTTTTTCTGAATGAAAACATGGTAACATGGTCTTTAGTTAAGATTATTGTACTTCTTGAAAGGTGTTTTTTTTTGTCCAGATGGATTTTTCTCCCCTACCCCTTATTGCCAAATAGCAGAGTAGACATAGAAAAGTCAAAATGACTTGCTTGCTTAATTTTTTTTTTCAAGTCACCTTTCAAATTAGGTTCTTTAGCATTTATAAAATGTGCACTATACCGTGGACTTTTCTTTTGCATGGTAAGATTATTTTAATTGTAAATTATTTAACATAGGTTATTGAGATCACAAAAGACTACCATAGTGGAAATTTCATATTGATGTACTGTAGTCGAGTATATGTCAGCATTTTCATTATAACTCCTTATTTTCCAAGTTATGTAACTCGGATGTAAAAATTTTCTCTAGACTGAAATTTAACAGATGAGGTCTCTGCCAAAGAACTAATTTGTAGTGCTGGCAGTATAAGAGCCCTGTGACCAGGGATGGAAAATTGCTAGTGTCATAAATGGCATCACTTTATAGTAAAATGGCTGCTTCTAGTATAAGGCCAATTATAATTACAAACTTTAAAAAAGGTCATAGTCTAATCATGAAGAGAAATGTTTCTTAACTTACCAATTTTCAGACTGTTGAAGTGAGGAGGAAAAGTGTTTTGTGTTTTTTTCTTTTTTCTTTTTCTTTTCAGGTAGTATATTGTTTGCGAATGTTTTCTCAGCGGGATCTGAGACTTCAGATGGACTCAAATTAAACTGGGGTATTTTAGTTGCCAGATCAAAAAGCAGGTTGACCATCTGCTACTGCTTGAAAAAATGCCATCACCTTATTTCAGGAGCAAGGGTTGGCAGTCAGGAGTTCTGAGTTTCATCATTGGCTCTGTCTCAGACTTCCTGTTTTACCTTGGGCAAGCCACTCTGTTCCCCCATCTCTAAAATATAGGCAATACTTCCTTATGTTATAGGGGCATCTTGAGTCTTAATGTGCTAATTCTTCTTAAGTACTTTGAGACCCTGAGGTGGAAGGCACCATAAAATTGCAAAATGTTATCAGTAATTTAATATTGCTGCAATACATGTGATGCTGGATTCTAACGGCTTCGGGTTCATTTTTAAAAGAATTCACTGAATAACCAGCAGAGCTCTTTGGCCTACTTTCTGTGCATGTTAATATTCTTGTTTACAAATGCTGTGGAGCATGGCTTACAGCAAGCTATTTTTTGACAGACAGGCTGAGTGTTTACCCAGTTGTCTCGAGAAATTCTAATGACACTTGGCAGAATTATACTGGTGTCTTTATAAAATATCAGAATGGTTTAACCACTTGTTCCTGTTATTTAATCAAACAGAGACTAGTGCATACATTTTATAATTCATCAAAACACAAGAAAAAACAGAAGAAGCGTTTTCCGTTTCTGTTGATGACAGGCAGGTTTTATCAAGCATATTGGCCATCCACCATGACTGGTATTTTTGTTGTAACAGTTTGTAGAAAACTGGTATTTTCTAATAAGAATAGTATTAATATTACGCTAATACAGGTATCCATCTTGAGTGAATAACGTTTAGGCATTTTCACTGTAATCCTGTTCTGTTTGTTTTTTCAGAAACCGTTTAAACAAAATGCTTGGTGCTTAGGCTTTAGTATACAAGTGAACAACAATAACTAGTAGAAATAATTTCTTTCATTTTCTTTGCACTTTAGACTTACCATAAAAGAAAGGAAATTAAATTTAAAAATCACATTAACGTAACGTTAAAGTTGAGACTGCATACAATAAAAGTAATGACAGATTTCAGAGTAGCAGCCGTGTTAGTCTGTATTTGCAAAAAGAAAAGGAGTACTTGTGGCACCTTAGAGACTAACAAATTTATTTGAGCATAAGCTTTCGTGAGCTGTATTTAATAAAAGTAATGAGGTTAGGTTGTCACACCATATTTAACTCAACCCACGTGTCCAGATAATGCAGCACATATGGGGAATATCAGGCCAGTCGGTGATCATATAGTTCGATGCGGCTGCAGAGTCTGGGCACAGTGGGATTAGTTAAGATCACAGCAACAGACTTAATTTTCAATTTCTTTAATTTCATTATTTTTACTAGATTGAATCTTAATGTAATTATTTGAAATTAAATTGTAACATTTAACTCCTTGGCTGCAGCTAATTGGCTGTTTCTATTGGTATTCATGGAAATTGTCAATTTTTGCCTGTCCCCAAATAAAAAGCTTTCTTTATCACAATACAATGTTATAAGGGGATCTTCTACATGACAAATTTATTACAATGCAAAATTCCAATCTAGTAATGCTCATTAATGGAAAATGCACCCTTTAAAAAAAATAGGTTTATAGATAAACAAAACTCACATCTTTTTGCCGAACTGTGAAGTTGAAAATTACATATTGGTGCTTTACTGAGTGAAACCAAACTTGATTGTCGAAAGGAAGCGAAAGTTGTTCCATGGGATTGTGGGATCCATTTAGTGATCTCCAATGCACAAGTCTACTAAGGCACAAGTCTACTAAGGCTGCGTATATACTACAGAGCAATAGGGCTTGGACCCTGGGTCTGGCTTGACTCAGGTTTGGACCCACCACCCCTGTGGGGTCCTATGACCTGAGTCCAGGCCCTGGATTAGCACAGTTTTGTGTGTAGATGGAGGACAAAGGTAGGCTTGAGCCTGGTTCGAACCCTGATCTTACATTGCAGTGAAGACATATCCTAAATGTCATCTATGTTTTATGCTTATATGGCAGGTGTAGGTTAATGCATAAAAACAGGATTATAAGGGGTTTGTGTATACACAAAGTCTTCAGTTATATGGAATGTTAGACTAGTCTTGGTGACACCCCAGGTTTTTAATCCAGTCTCTTGCAACTACAGTTTTCTATCTGAAATCCTTCCCATTTGCTGATTTAATGCTTAGCATACTATGAGAAGGACATCAGCTTCTCTAAGGCAGAAGTCTGACTCTTCTTTATATAATTTACTTTGCACTTCTACAACACTTTCTGTTTGAGCTTCTGAAAGCACTTTACAGATATTAATGTAGTAAACCTCACAATACCCCTGTGAGGTAGGAAATTAATATTGATCTCATTTGTCAGGGAAATGAGGAAACTGTGGGTCAGTGGGGATTTAATTAACTCAAGAAACGATATATAGGAAGTCCACAGGAATATAACCCAGATCCTGACTAGGGCTTTTCAAAATTTCAAAAATGCACACTGCCCCTCCACCTGGATCACTGTGGTGTGCAGAGGTTCAAGGAACCCTAGGCCGCAATAGAAGCAAGATTAGCCTAATTTCTTGGTTTCTTTGGACTTGACTACAAAGAGATTGTTCCTTGCGCACGTCATCCTTTCCTCAGCAGAAATGGGCTTCCAATTTCTTGTAGCAATGCCTCTGTATTTTGATTTAGTATAAATAGAACCACTGTTTTGCACTTAACTTTAACCTTTTCCTTGTAATTGATTCCATCTTATTTGTTAACATGTACCAATCCTGCATAAATTCTATCCTAACATTTTGTCTGAAAGGATGGGGCTGGTTTCCCCCTCCCTTTCTCCAACCCCTGATTAATATGGTTAGCACTTTCTGAAGTGTTAGGAAGGGTTACCAACAGTGTCAGCAGACTAAAATTATACTGGCTGGTTTCATACTCTTTTTGGAGTCCTTGTTCATTAATGGAAAATAGATTTTGGAAATCTCTCCTTTAGACTAATGACTTAATATGGTGTGATTAGTAGACAATAAGAAGAACTTTGTTCCTTCCTCAGTAGAGACCAATATCTATTTGTAATTATTATAAATGTCTTGTGTGCAAATCTAATACAGAATAATCATCAGCTTTATTGCTTTTCAGGATTCTAGGACTCTTTATCCGTGGTATTGAGGAGAACAGCAGATCTAGGCGTGATGGTCTTCTCCATGAAAATGAGTGTATTGTGAAAATTAACAATGTGGACCTCGTAGATAAAACTTTTGCACAGTGAGTGCTACTTAATTACTTAATTGATTCTGTTAACCACCAGAATTTTATATAATGTTGTACTTATTGAGGTGATTAATGTAGCATGTTGCGAGTAAAATACCATAAAATATGTATATAACTAAAGAATCATAATTCTCTTTCTGAAACTTCCAAATGCAGTAATATAGTTCCCACCGTAGACGCAAATCATAGAAATTATAATATTGGAAAAACCTTCACCTGCCAGTGAAGTAGAACTTCCTACAATATATTCTAAATTGTTTTGTCCACTCCAGTTTTAAAGAATTCCAACAATGGAACGCTACTTCCTATGAGATATTATTCAATGTTAGGAAATTTTTCCTTGCATCAGTGCTATTGTATTTCATTACTCCTTATTGCATGCCTTTGGAACATCCTAAATAAATCCTCTCCCTCCTTTGCGTTTACACTTCATAAAGTTATTGGCTTTACATTATTACCTACTAGTAATTGTTTAGCCAAACAATACTGTGCAGATTTAGTTTGCCTAACTTTTAAAAATAAGTCAGTCCCTTTACTCCCACTTACTTTTTTTCTCATCTTTATTTCCTTCCAATTTTTTGAGATATTTCTAGTATTAAGGTATCCAAAACTGAACATATAGTAGTTTTGGTGGTGCCCACAACTTCTGAGTGTGATGTTTCTGTAAATAGTTAAGAAGAAAGAGAGAATCTCTTGTGCTACAACTTTTCAGGTGTCTAAAAATGGTTAACAATTAATGTTTTCTAACACAAAGTATAAAGCAGTTGAACTAAGTTGCAAGGCTAACTTTGGGTTAAAAGCATAAGGTAATAGATTTTGTAGTTTTGACTTAAAATCTGTTGAAGTTATTATTCGTCCCTAATTGGCTTATGTAACAGAGAATACTTTGGCTAATCTGTGCATTCAAGAAGACTTTGTTGCTGGAATGAATAGTCACAAATACTTGCTTAAAAATTAAACAGTAATTTACTTTTATTTTTAATCCCTATATTAAAAGACATGAGTGATATTCATCAGACAGTAAAATCTATTGAGGGCTCAGGGGAGTTGATGCTTAACATTTTAAACCAGAAGCCAAATGCTCAGTGTTTATGCTCAATGCAAAATTTCAGTGTTACATATGAATATGTGCAGATCTACAGTACAGTAACTCTGCACTTAACGTTGTAATTATGTTCCTGAAAAATGCTTCTTTAAGCAAAACGATGTTAAGTGAATCCAATTTCCCCATAAGTATTAATGTAAATAGGGGGGGTTAGGTTCCAGGGAAATTTTTTTTTTTGGTGAGTCAAAAGACTATACACACACACGCGCACACAGTTTTAAACAATTTAATACTGTACACAGCAATGATGATTGTGAAGTTTGGTTGAGGTGGTGAAGTCAGAGGGTGGGATATTTCCCAAGGAATGCCTTGCTGCTAAATGATGAACTAGCACTCAGCTGAGCCCTCAGGGGTTAACATGTTAATGTAGCCTCACACTCTACAAGACAGCATGAATGGAGGGAGGGGAGACAGCATAGCAGAGAGAGACAGAGACACATACTGTGGAGAGAGATGCACATTGCCCCTTCAAGTACACTGACCGCACTCCAAGTACATTGCCTTTTTAAGTAGATCAGTAAGCTGGGACAGCAGCTGCTGCCAGCAAGCTCCATCCTGAGCCCTGTTGTGTCCTCCCCCAGCTCTAGAGAAATGGGGTAAAGTAGCGTGGGGGGGACGGGGACACCCTGACATTAACATTCCTCTTCCCCCTCCCCCCCACTCCTTGCACAGCAAGCAGGAGGCTCATGGGAGCAGCTCCAAGGCAGAGGGCAGGAGCTGCACAAGGCAGTGGGGGGAGGGACAGCTGAACTGCTGGCAATTGATAGCCTGCTGGGCTGCTGCCGCACAGGGAGCTGATAGGGCGGCTGCCAGTCCACCCTGGTTCCAAGGCCCCACCAGCTAGCTTCAACGGGCTGCTCTTCCTGCAAGCAGTGGACAAAGCAGGCAGCTGCCAAACAACGTTATAAGGGAGCATTGCGTAACTTTAAACGAGCATGTTTCCTAATTGATCAGCAGTGTAACAATGAAAAAACGTTAAGTGGTACGACTTTAAGTGAGGAGTTACTGTAGTTTGATGAAAATAGTGCTGATCTTATGCTTTAGTGGTTAAGGTGTTTGGGGGGGGGTCCCCCTTTTTCCCTGGTTGTACTTCGAACATGTTCAAAATATCTGAAGATAAACCTATTCCATGGTAAAAAGGTTCATTTTCATTTTGGTGATTGTTTAGGTTCTGACACTTATCAATCTTTTCTCCCCTGCAGTGGAAAATAGTTTCCACATCATAACAGAGATCACTAGGGAGTTCTCTCGCTCCCACCTGCCAAATGTTCACAGATGACGCTAAGAAAACCTGGTCACTTCAGCTTCACATCAGCAAAGTGTATGCTTAAGAAAAATCCTTATTCAACATGTTTAAGCACATGCTTAGCTAGAAGTATGTACTCACGTGCTACTGTAGTTAGTGGGATTTGGCATGTGCTTAATTTTAAGGACCTTCTTAAGCACTTTGCTGAATGGCATGGACTGCTGCAGTTTCCACGGTAAACATCTGATGAAGTGAGCTGTAGCTAACGAAAGCTCATGCTCAAATAAATTGGTTAGTCTCTAAGGGCCCATTGTCCCATACAGACTAACACGGCTGTTCCTCTGAAATAAATCAAGGAATTGTCCCATAAAACTGAAATGCCGAAAAAGGTTTTAATGCTACATTTGAATGCCTTCTGCATTTCTAATCCATGCCAGAAAAGTGAAATTTTGAGAAACATGAAATTTAGGCAAGAAAAACAATAGATTTAAATGTGATGTGTAAGTTTAAACATAAAACCCCATCAACCTATATTGTTTGTATTTTCATATGGATATTTTTAGCCTACTGCATAGGTAGATATGTTTGGTGTGGTATTAAACAGGTAAGAATGCAAGTATACAGATGTATAGCAGTATGAATGTAAATGTGGTCCAACATTGTTGTACACAGGTAAACATATTGGGATTTGGTGCAGTATTGTTATACGCTAGTAATAAGTCAATAAGTAATTGATGTAAAGCTTTTATATATAAATAACGTAGGTATTTGTTGCAGATTAGTTTTTGCAAAATCAATCCCTTTTACTTATTTAGTTATCAATTATACCACAAAATAATTTGATCCCTTGTCAAATGAATTTTAAGTTATGGGGTTGTAACATAAAGGCCAATGGTTTCGCCTAGCAGCTAGTGTTTTGTTAAGAAAATAAAATACATCTTTCTCAAGTGATTATCAAATTATTTTTTGAAATTTTGAATGACTGTGTAGAAGTTTGTAGTCCCCTTCCTGTCTCCTCTGGAACATACTGTAGATTTTGAATGCCTCTGGGCCTGTAGCAATGTGGAGAATTTCACCCTCTGATTTCTCTGCAATACTGCTTGCTTTCTGGAATACTTGGAAGCACTGCAGTAACTGCCAGTTCTCTGTCAGTTTCCCTTTTAAACTGAGAGATTCAGGAGAGTTCACTTGCTCAGTTTTTGCCAACAATTTAATTTTCTTCTGACACTGTGTAACCTACAAGAGTAAGATAATAGTCTTTACTTCAAAAAGAAAAGGAGTACTTGTGGCACCTTAGAGACTAACCAATTTATTTGAGCATGAGCTTTCGTGAGCTACAGCTCACTTCATCAGATGTTATACCGTGGAAACTGCAGCAGACTTTATATACATACAGAGAATATGAAACAATACCTCCTCCCACCCCACTGTCCTGCTGGTAATAGCTTATCTAAACTTTAGATAAGCTATTACCAGCAGGACAGTGGGGTGGGAGGAGGTATTGTTTCATATTCTCTGTATGTATATAAAGTCTGCTGCAGTTTCCACGGTATAACATCTGATGAAGTGAGCTGTAGCTCACGAAAGCTCATGCTCAAATAAATTGGTTAGTCTCTAAGGTGCCACAAGTACTCCTTTTCTTTTTGCGAATACAGACTAACACGGCTGTTCCTCTGAAACCAGTCTTTACTTCCTGGCCCCATCACCTGAAATGAATCGGGGGTACAAATTTTGATGCCTCTGTCAAATGACAGGGGTTTATAGCCACGTGTTCCAATGGCTACTGATACAGAAAGAGTAATCAGTTTGACTGTATTAGTGGTAAGGTCATGGTTCCTCCTGCTGATTGCAAAGGGTCCTTTAATAGTTAGCAAGACTGTAGTGATTACATGTTTTTTCAGTTTGTCTGTTTTAGATGGAAGTTTTTGAATACTGCTCTGAAAGGTTGCTTTTCCTCAGCTGGAACACTAGAAGGCAATTTGTTGTTTCATGTTCATAATGCTTTTATACATCTCTACTGTGAGTTTCCTTTTTCATTTAGTGTTAATAAATTCAGTTATATTCTGCTGTGTTTTGGAGATTGGAGCACTTCTTTTGGTTGAGTCTTCGTCTTTTATTTCTTTAAGTGTACATTTGGGGGCTCAAAGAGTTTGACTTTCACTGCCCGTTACATTTTTCTTTTATTAAAAAAATTGTCCTGGCAGTTATTTCCCCCTCAGGTACTGCTTTTAGGTTTCCTACAGATTTACTGGTGTTCTCACTGTTATTTTTAGTTTGTGAGAGATCTCCTATTTCTATCTCTCTGATATGTTTAAAATAGGCATCTCCTAAAAATGAGCTTTTAAGCTGCCATATAGTGTATTGTCAAGTGGCTGTTTGCAATTATATGAGAATGGGGAGTGATCTGAGATAAATTAAGTGAGGATTTTACATTCTTAAATATCTATTAGCTGGTGGTTTAGGGATGAGAAAGAAGTGTGTTTTGAAATAAACAATGTACGATACAGAAGCAGACATAACCTACAACGCTGATGTCTGTGGAGAATATGGACTGAGGGGCATAGTTCTTTCACTACTGTACTTAAAGCATTTTTGAGCTTTATCTTGTGTGTATAATAGGCTTGGGGCACTTTTAAACTCTTCTGCCCAGATTAATCTAGAGAGAATTTGGTTCAGAGATCCAATTCAACATGTCTTTTAAAAATTGTGAAGGGATTTTTCTTAGTGAATATGTAAAGTATACAGTGGTTGTGCTTAAAAAACTTTCCAAATTTTCCTTAATTAACTTGACTTTAAAAGCAGCAAAGAGTCCTATAGCACCTTATAGACTAACAGACATAGTGGAGCATAAGCTTTCGTGGGTGAATACTCACTTCTTCAGATGCATGAAGTGGAATTTTCCAGAGGCAGGTATAAATATGCAAGCAGGAATCAGGCTAGGGATAACGGGGTTAGTTCAATCAGAGAGGGCGAGGCCCTCTTCTAGCAGTTGAGGTGTGAACACAATGGGAGGAGAAACTGCTTTTGTAGTTGGCGAGCCTTTCACAGTCTATAAGGTGCCACAGGACTCTTTGCCTCTTTTACAGATCAAGACTAACACGGCTACCCCTCTGAAACTTGACTTTAGTGTTTTTTTTTATTTTCTTATTATTATAGGATATATTATCAATACTGAAATAAGATTATCTAAGGAAATTGACAAGTTTCTAATTGTGGCCATGCTGTTTAAAATCGGCAACTGTCTATCATTAGTTTTTCCTCATACTAGGATTGTTATCTAATTGCAAGCATTGGCTTGGAGTAGTAGGTTTTTGTTAATGAGATAGTCTGCTCTTCTTTTCTTGCTTTTACATTTAGCAAGAGTAGGACATTTCTTCTACTCAGGGCCCATTTGAGTTTTTCTTGCATGCCCATGCCCTGATTTGTGCTGCTGCTACAGGGTTCTGCTCTTCAATATTTGTTTTGGAAGCAGCTATGCACTTTCCTCTTCCAGTCCTCTGGAGAACCCTGCGGTAAAAATGCTACGCCCCACCATCTTTCCCACTACAGTTCCTCTCCGGTTGTGAGATAACTGTTTTAGTCAGTGTTCTCCTTTAGAGCCTTGCTTCCTACTCCTCCTCACCCATGTCTATGTTAACTGTCTTCCCTGCATTGACTCAAACTTAGGAGTTTGCAAGTGGGCATCATTCATAGCAGCCCAGAGATCTTGCCAGCTTCACAAATCCCAGTTCCTATTCAAAGCATAGGAAAATATTGTAATGTAGCAAATCTTATTGCATGTTTACTGTTGACTTTTGAAAGAGCGTCACTTTATTTTGAAATGTATAGTTATTTCTGTAGGTAGAATAAATTCATAGCTGTAAACAATTTCTAAGTATGCAGCAAGACGTGTAGAAATATTGCAAAGTGTGACCCTAAGCACCCCTGTATTCAGACCTTAAACACTATTGTAGTAATCTTTGTACAAAATATGACTTATGAGGTACCATTTGAAAACTAATAACTCTCTGATCATTAATATTCTTGTGTGGTGTATGCACATAGTGTGTATTAAGAGTTTTGAATATACACTGCAATTAAAGTGTGTTTAAACTGGGCAACGCAAGTATGTAGGGACAGAATTAGAAAGCCCAGGGCACAAAACAAGATTAAACTAGCTAGAGACATAAAAGGTAAAAAGAAAACAAGAGACATAAAAGGTAAAAAGAAAACAAGAGGGAAGACCAAGGACAGGGTACGCCCATTACTCAGTGAAAGGGGTGGGAGGAGGCGTGGAAACAATAACAGAAAATGTGGAAATGGCAGAAGTGCTAAATGATATTTTTGTGTCAGTTTTCACCAAAAGGTTTATTAGCAATTGGACATCTACCTTAATGAATGCCAGTGAAAAGGAGGTAGTATCCTAAACTAAAATAAAGAAAGAACAAGTTAAAAATTACTTAGACAAGTTAGATGTTTTCAAGTCACTGGTGCCTGATGAAATATATTCTAGAATATTCAAGGAGCTGACTGAGGAGATATCTGAACCATTAGTGATTATCTTCTAAAAGTCATGGAAGATGGGTGAGATTCCAGAGGACTGGAAAAGGGCAAATATAGTGCCAATCTATAAAAAGGGGAATAAGGACAACCAGGGAAGTTGCAGACCAGTCAGTACCAGGAAAGATAATGGAGCAAATAATTAAGCAATCAGTTTGCAGAAATGTAGAAGATAATAAGGTGATAAGTAACAAATTGTGTCAAACCACCCTAATAACTTTCTTTGACAGAGTAACAAACCTCATGGATGGGGGGAAGCAGTAGACATGGTATATCTTGACTTTAGTAAGACTTTTGATACTCTCTTATATGACCATCTGATAAACAAATTAGGGAAATACAACCTAGATGGAACTACTGTAAGGTGGATGCATAACTGATTGGAAAACCTTTCCTAGAGGGTAGTTATCAGTGGTTCACAATTGAGCTGGAAGGGCATATCAAGTGGGGTCCCACAGGGATCAGTTCTGGTTCCGGTTCTGTTCAATGTCTTCATCAATGATTTAGATAATGGCATAGAGGATAATACCAAGCTGGGAGGAGTTGCAAATGCTTTGGAGGATAAAATTAAAATTCAAAAAGACCTGGACAAACTGGAGAAATAGTTTGAAGTAAATAGGATGAAATTCAATAAAGACAAATGCAATATATTCCACTTAGGAAGGAACAGTCAGTTGCACACACAAAATGGGAAATGACTGTGTGTAGGAAGGAGTACTGCAGAAAGGGATCTGAACATCATAGTGGTTCATAAGCTAAACACGAGTTAACAGTGTAACATTGTTGCAAAAAAAGCAAACATCATTCTGGGATATATTAGCAGTGTTGTAAGCAAGACACAAGAATTAATTCTTCTGCTCTACTCTGCGCTGATTAGGCCTCAACTGGAGTACTGTGTCCTGTTCTGGGTGCCACATTTCAGGAAAGATGTGGACAAATTGGAGAAAGTCCACCAATGAGTAACAAAAATTATGAAAGGTCTAGAAAACATGACCTATGAGGGAAGATGGAAAATTTGGGTTTGTTAAGTCTGGAGAAGAGAAGACTAAGAGGGGACATAACTGTTTCCTCGTACATAAAAGGTTGCTACAAGGAGGCGGGAGAGAAATTATTCTCTTTAACCTCTGAGGATAGGACAAGAAGCAATGGTCTTAAATTGCAGCAAGGGTGATTGAGTTTGGACATTAGCAAAAACTTCCTAACTGTCAGGGTGGTTAAGCACTGGAATAAATTGCCTTGGGAGGTTGTGGAATCTGCATCATTGGAGATTTTTAAGAGCAGGTTAGACAAACACCTGTCAGGGATGGTCTAGATAATGCTTAGCCCTGCCTTGAGTGCAGGGGACTGAACTAGATGACCTCTTGAGGCCTCTTCTAGTCCTGCAATTCTATGATCTGTTTCAGTGGGACTGGGTAAACAGGTCTGCTTTAGACAAAGGAATGTATATTTGATTCTCTGACCAGCCTGTGTTTCAGGCAAAGACAATGAATATCAATTTTTACACATTAGGTAAATCGAGTTAAGATAACAAATAGGGGGAAGAGAGTAGAGCTTCCTTCACAACCAGACTCCATGTCACCTTACTCACAGCTTGAATAAACTTTACATTGTAGGTAACATTTAGAAGAACCCATTTTAAAGTTTTATTGGTCTGTGAGGACTGGGGAGGAGGGACTGAACATAAGGTGACAAGCAACTGAATCAACTGATTTATACAATACTATTGTATTATAAAAGTGTACAGAGTGAAGTCTTTTCTGAAATAACACACTGGGGGTTAATATTATTGTGAAATGTATGGATTAACACTATATGAGGAAATATGGATAATTAATGATATTATGCTTTAAAGTCTGTGGCCAAACAGGGAGAAACTGGTTCCCTCTCAGATAGGAGAGAAGGCAGCTATTTACCTGTCTCCTATATATATTAAGCATGGTGAAATGAAAACAGTGGAAGCCCCATTAATGTACAGGGGGATGGGAAATCCAAAGGAAGGGAAAAACAGAATGAGGTCATCATGCCTCTTGAAATAAAGGCACTGAACTTTGGAAGATGTAAGCAAAAATAGAAGCCATCTTTGTCATCCCTCACTGGATGGACGCTGGAGGCCAGAGCTCTTGCAAGCTGAGAAATATGAGTCCTTCAACTATGGAAGGATTGAAGTCTCTGGAAACTGAATATAGTTGAGACACTTAGGAAGAAAAGGGAAGCCAGTGCCTTGTCTTCTGTGGCTGTTCCTGACTGAGAGAAAGTCAACCATGGTTGGAAAGAAGGAAGACTGATGAGGGAAACCATCTAGAACAAAATGTATACCTTGCTATATTAAGTTTTAGACTTTTAGTTTTGTGTTTTGTTTGTATGTAGCCCTGTCTAGCTTTATTCCTTTAAATTGGTATCACTTAACCTATGTCCAATTGTTAATAAATTTGTTTCATTTTCACTATAAACCAGCTCAGTTCTGTGTTTGTAGAGAAGAGTGTATTTACCCTAGTTAAGTTAATAAGCTGCAATGTGCTTTTGTCTTTAGAGGAACAACAAACCTATTGTTTCTCTGAACTGTCCTGGAGAGGGCTGGACATTGCAGAACACATGGTTTTGGGAAAATTCAGTACTGGGAGTGTGTTGGGGTCACCCTGCAAGTAGTAACCGATTCCGGTAGAAGTCGATGTGGGGCTGCAGACAAGCAGCTAAGGTCAGAGCTGCAGAACTAGGTGTGACTTGCATGCTGGTAGGCTAGCTGTGAGTGGCCCAGGCTGGAAGCTGCAGCAGCAAAGCATGGTAAGGCACTCAGGCTTGCAGGCAGGCTGTGACTCAACCCCTTACTGGTCTGCATTGCACTCTGAACCCCATAACACGTAGATTTTCTGGTTTTTATGTATTTGTTTTCATGCTTTTTCTTCAAAGGGCTCAGGATATCTTCCGTCAGGCAATGAAATCTCCAACTGTCTTCTTGGAAGTGGTTCCTCCATATAATCGTGAACAATATGAAAAGTCTGCCATTGCTCCCCTTTGTTTGCTCGATAATGATGATGGAGTTCCAAAAACAAAGGTTCCACCTCCTGTTCTTATGAAACCAGCTGTGAAAACGGTAGATCTCTCTGGAATGAACAGCCTGGAGACAGATCTGCAGGCAACGCTACAACGTGCTAAGAGCCCCAATCTCCCAAGGTTGGGTAAGAAACCATCTTCACCATCCCTGTCTCCTCTGATGGGCTTCAGCAACAAGAAAAATGCAAAGAGAATAAAGATAGACCTTAAGAAAGGTAAAGGTTCAACAATCAGCAGTGATGCACTGTAACAACTACATGTTCTCTGTATTGGTACCTTAACTTTTAACTGAACTGGTGACATGGGGCCAGCTGAGTGTTTAAACAGCTTAGTTATTGATACTTTACTAAAAGATAAACAAAATGTTCTGAATATGTCACTGGGGACTATTGCCAAGTTTTTCCTGCCCTGTTTTGTTTTTACATGTTGGTGTGACATCATTGTGGGAGGAAGTTCATATGAAGTGATGCTGTTGCATTCTGCACTTAAGGAAAAATGAGCAGAACAGGAAAAACAAATCCAAAATTTCCATGGCTTTGTCGTTAGAAGATCCAGAGGCAACCTAATCTGAACTGAAGAAGAAGCTGTGTAGAGTGTGCAAGGGGGATAGTTTAAAAGAATGATAAAGTAGAGCAAATACATGGGATGCAGCAATTAAATTTGAGAATGCGCAGTGCAGCCCCACAAATTAATTGGAGTGGAGCTTTCAGGAACTTCCCTGTAATTCATGGATTTTGAAGCCAGAAAGGACCATTATGATCATTTGGTCTGACCTGAGAAGTGATTCATGATATGTAACACAGGCCAGAGGAGTTCCTGTTATGAATGCATGGATCAAGAGCACATCTTTTATAAAAACATCCGGTCTAGATTTTAAAATGTCTGGTGATCAAGAATCTCCCACAACCCTTGATAAATTGTTTCAATGTTTAATTACTCTCACTGTTACAGTCAGCCCCTTATTTCTAGTCTGAATTTGTCTAGCTCCATCTCCCAACCATTGGCTCTTGTTATACCTTTGTTTAACCGAATAATTCTTTATTCTCCCCGTGTAGATACTTATGGGCTGTGATCAGGTTACCTCTTAACTTTCTCTTTGATAAGCTTACGTCTCTCACTTTAAGGCATGTTTTCGAGTCCCTTAATCATTCTTTTGACTTTTCTCTGCATTTCCTCCAATGTAACATCCTTCTTGAAATGTGAATACCGGAACTGGACAGAGTGTTCCAGTCATGGTTGCACTAATGCCCAATATAGAGATAATATTACTTCCCTATTCCTGCTTGATATTCCTCGGTTTATATATCATGACCCCCTAAGTCCTTTTCAGAGTCACTGCTTCGCAGGATAGTGTCCCACATCCTGTAAGTATGGCCTCCGTTCTTTGTTCCTAGATGGTATGACCTTATATTCGGCTATATTGAAATCTGCCTGCACTCTCCTTGCTAAGCAATCCACGTCTATCACCTTCATTATTTACCACTCCCACAATCTCTGTATCCTCTGCAAACTTCATCAGTAGTGATTTTATGTTTTCTTCCAGAGCATTGACAAAAACAGTAAATAGCTTAGAGACAAGAACCAATCCTGCAGGACCTTGCTGGAAACACACCCTTTTGATGATGGTTCCCTATTTACAATTATATTTTGCTATCAGTACTCTAGTTTTTAATCCATTTAATATGTGCCATGTTATTTTTTGTAGTATTCTAGTTTTTTAATCAAAATGTCATGTGATACCAAGCCAAATGCCTTCCAGAAGTCTAAGTGTATTTATGAACCAAACCTATTATCTCATCAAAAATGATACTAACTTAGTTTGACAAGATTTATTTTCCATAAACCCATGTTAATTGGCATTATAAAACATTAATTCTTTATTAATTAAGTCCTGCATCAGCAATTCTATTATTTTACCTGGGATTACTGTCAGGCTGGCAGGCCTATAGTTACTCAGGTCATCCTATTTACTCTTTTTAAATATTGGTAAAAAGTTATCTTTTTCTGGTCCTCTAGAACATCCCCAGTGTTCCAAGTCTTACTGAACAGAAGCAGTTAATGCTCAAGAGAGTTCCTCAGTCAGCTCTTTTAAAACTCTGCTGATTTAAAGATGTGTGACTTTAGCTGCTATTTAACATTCTGTGTAGTTATTGTTGGAATGGAAAGAATTCCATCATTGTGTGATGGGAATACATCATCTGACTTTTCCCTAAATACAGAACAGAAATATCTGTTGAACACTTCTGTCTTTTTGTTATTATTACTGACAATTCTACCATTTCCATCGAGTAAAGGACCCTGATACTTGACATCATTGTTAAGGTTTCTTTTATTTGGGACGTTTTCAAAAAAACACAAAACCCTTTTTTTATTGTGCGGTCTCTGCTGGCCATATATTTCTGCTTGTGTTCTTTTGCGTCCCTTATCAATTTTCCACAATTCCTAGCGTCTGACTTCTATTTATTGTTAGAAAGTGTCCCTTTTTTCCATTTATTATATATGGGGTTGTTTTTGTTCTGTTTATGTTGCTGCTTTTTTGCTTCTCTTTTGAACCAGGCTGAGGTTTATTTTTTGTTTGTTTTTAAACTATCATAGCCTGCTTTCTCAATTTGTGGCTTTGTGGGCATTGAGTAAAATGTTCTTAAACAGTTCCCAATTATCATTTATATTTTTATTTAATTTTTTTCTCCAAGCTGATTTGGTTCATAATTGTTTTCAGCTTTGAAATATTGACTCTTTTAAATTCTGTTTACACATAACAAATGTAAGAAAGTCATGATCACTTGTACTAAACAACTGCTAATTTTTAGTTCTGTGATATATTCTTCTTTAGCTGTCAAGCTGAGGTTCAATATAGAATTCCCCTGTTATAGCTGTCACACTTTTTGTGTTAGGAAATAGTCATATATGGCTTTTAGAAATTACAAGGATGTTGTTGTACTGGCAGCATGAGAACTCTAGTATATGTCACCCAAATTGAAATCGCTCGTGAGTTTTCGCTATACATTACAGATGGGTGCTTAAGGAGACAGTCGTCCTCTTCTCTCTTGATTTGGTGGTCTAGAGCAGACATGCATTAGCAGCTATCTTGTGCTTTAGCTGTTAAAACATTGATCCATAAGCATTCAAGATTGTTTGCTTCCAACGTTGTCAGTTACTTGGAAATAGGCAATGCCATCATGACACACAGTGCTACTCCTCATCCCCTTTTGCCCACTTGATCCTTCCTTAAATAGGTTATAACCAGTGATGTTGACATTCCAATCATGCACATTTTTCCACCATGTTTCAGTAATGTCAACAAGGTTGAATTTATGCTCATAAATGAGCAATTCTAATCGCTCGTTTATTACCCACACTCTTAGGACTGGTGTACAGGCAATGAAAAATCTTCTTCTCTTGGTGCCTTGATTAATTTGGTTCATGGCACCTTGATTTTGCGCTAAATAAATGCTCACTTGTACATCCTCCCCTTGCTTCACTCGTTCCTTTTGTTGTTAAACATCCTGCTGTCCCCTAGAAGCTTTGTTCCCCTTCTGCTAAAATGGAGGTTATCCAATCTATACAACCATTCTCCCCATAAGAGGTAGGTTAATGTTCCTCACAATAAAAACCTGCTACCTTACGCTACTTAGTCAGCAGTTCTCTACCAGAATCTCCTTCTTTCCGTCTTCCTTCACTTTTGGGGCAGAAAGGATCTCAAGAAAAGTCACTTGAACATAGCTCCTTCAGCACTCTTCCAAGTTCTCTGAAGTTGTCTGTAACTTGTGAGATATCATGTGAAGCAATGTCTTTAATGCCAATGTGCACGGCTGGCTTTGATAACCTCAATCTCCCAGACCCTTGCCAGACAGATGAAAACCTGTGTGTGCATAGATTTCTGCTTAAGATAATATTGAGTCATTCCACATTACTAAGACTTAAGTAGCGTTTTCCGTATGCTTTGAATGGTATAAAGTTTCTGTGCTCTTCATCACTGTCACCATATTTCTTCCTTTAACTTAATTTTGAGCATATTTTGGGTAACAATCATGCCATTGATTATAGGCACACAATATGGTGTCAGTCAGTCCCCCTTCCTGTATCTGTGCTGCTTTGCCTAATTTTTTTACCATAATTTTCTTTGCTTTACACCACTATATGCAAATATTTTATGAGATGATTTGACTCTAAAGGATTAATATCTAAAGAAGTCCCAAAACTACCTGGGAAAGAGGCATTATATTTAGAGTGAGCCCTCCATTTAGTTTCTGATTGGAGCATGGGTAATTCAAAACTATTTTAGTTCATGCATATTAACAGCAGGGTCTGAACCTGTCTCTTCTGACAGTGTCATAATACTTACTCTTCTGGTCCTCCATGAAATCATGCTCAATGGCTGAAGCAGCTCTCATTGAGAGCTAATCTAAATGCTTGCTCTTGATACTTATGTTTTTAACTTTTACTGTTCCATTATTTTAATTAATATCATTTTCTTGTTGAAATTTACAATAAACCTTCTCTGTCTGCACTCTAGGTCCTGAAGGACTTGGTTTCACTGTGGTTACCAGAGACTCTTCGGTTCATGGCCCTGGTCCTATTTTTGTGAAGAATATTTTGCCAAAGGGGGCAGCAGTCAAAGATGGTCGTTTGCAATCAGGCGACCGAATACTGGAGGTTAGCAGAACTGGGAATATCAAACATCCTGTCCTTTCTCACCACTAAATATTGTTTATCGACTTTTTCAAATTTATATTTTATATTTATTTGTATTTTCTGAAATTACTAGTGACCAAAATAGCATAGCATGTTTCTAATTTAAACCCCATATTGTAGGTTGTTGGGGTTTTGTTTTTTTTAAACACAGTGCTTTCATACTGCTTGTTGACTTAAATACACAGTTCAGAATCAGGTGCTTGTGAAAACAGTCTTGCAAGGCATTCAAACAAGGGAGAGCTGATAAAATGGCTGCCCGATTTTGAAAGTAGATACATCAATTGAAAAAAACAGTCTCTGAAATAATATCCAAGGATCTGTGTTTTCACTGTGAATGTTTTTCTAATGCACATTTTAAATCAGTTGCATTGTATTTTCTCGGTTTTAAATGTTCATATTTGTCTGACTTATGAACTCATTATCTATGGGGCTATTTTTACTTGCTAACCTCAAAGAGCTCTAATGTAAACAATATTAATGCTTAACTCTTGTTTAGTGGTTTTCACTTTCAAAGTGCTTTACAAACTGATTAATCTTCACAAAACCCCTGCCAGGTAGGTGTTATAAACCCCCATTAACAGATGGTGAAAAGTAGCAAAGAGGATAAGTGATTTGTGCAAGCCTGAGAGAAAACTCACTGTAGCAACCAAATTAAGGGCTTGGGTACATGGCTCTGCAGCGCAGATTATGGGGGTGTGAATTCCAGCACACACTGAGGTGTTGCTCTGTAACTGCCCCATGTAAACCTTGCTAACATGAACTAGCAGGTATCTAATTTGTAGTAACGTAGTCCCAGAAGACTACGTCAATGCAAGCTAGGTACTTTGTGGTTCCAGCTAGTAGGGTCTACACGGGCAGTCACAGCTTAACACTTCAGTGTGTGCTGTAACTCACGGTCCCGTGGTCTGTGCTACAGGACCATGTAGACCGCCCTTAAAACTCAACCTTTCTTGGTTCTCAGACCTCTGAACCACACACCTCCCAGTTTAGAAAATCAAAGACAGCACTTGTTAGAGTTATTTTGTTTGTTTCCTAATTACATCGATTAGGTGAATGGCAGAGATGTCACTGGCAGGACCCAAGAAGAACTAGTGGCTATGTTGAGAAGCACTAAGCAAGGGGAGACTGTCTCTCTGATCGTGGCTCGGCAAGAGGAAGCCTTTCTGCCTCGAGAGCTGGTAATGTTTTTTCCGCTATGCCGAATCAGACTAGTTCTCTGTTTAAAAATTGACCTAAGAAATACAAGTAAACTGTTGCTGGATGAGAAACCAGTGAAGGGCAATTATTTAAAGCTGGTCTTGGAGAAGTATTTATATTTCATTTTACCCATTATTTAATACAATTCTTTGACATTTGATTTTCATCCCAGAAGTGACATCATAGGCATAATTTGCAAGGGAATACTGTAAATTAATTATGTAATGATGAGATTGAGAATGCGTGAAAATAAAGTACTCTTTTTTTAGGCTTAGGGTTTTGTTTTAAGTGTACATGGTGAATTTCATTGCTTGTGAAAGTAATGGACTAATGACACTGGTTGCTGACAGGCTCTGAAGCTTCCCTACACAATTCTGACAGTGCCTCTAAAACAGGCATTGTTCAGTACTGGGCATCTCCTAAACTGGGAATACCAATTCTGGCAAATTATGTGGAGGTTATATGAGCTGAAGGGAAAATTCCATAGTAGTTCTCAGGGCTAATAGGGGAGAACCTTGCTTTCTTGGCAAACATTCTTTGATTTTAACAGAAAAAGTTCTAATATGTGTGAACTGTTCTTAAACTGTTTAACAGATTTCACATTCATTTAATAATAAAGCAGTGCTTTGGGAAACCTTAAATGTGAAATCATATTCCTTCCCACCCTAAATATACATAGGAGGAGTCCATTAATGTAGAGATACATACTTGTTTCCTCTCAAAGAAGACCATCTCTTTTCCCTTATCTTGACTGATGCATATATTTGTCTTTTCAGTGAGAGCTCTGCACGATAAAGGAAGGACAGCACTTCCTGCCTTTGTCTCATTCTATTTTCTTTAAAGAAAACAAATGGCCTTTCTTGTTTTCTTACTTGAAGAATGAGCCTTCTCCCTTTTGTCAGGACTTCGCTTTTCCTTTTGCTTAACCCCCTGTTAGCACCATCTCCTTCTGCAATCCACTTTGGTATGTTTTCTCATACTTTTCCTCTTGTTTCCTTGTTATCACTTAGTCCTTGTTGAGCAAAGTGTGTGTGTTGCCTGCACTCCTATCGGAAGCCCTGGAATAGGTTAGTTGCTGTGATATGACCCTCTGTCTTTCTGCCACTGCTTCCTGTACATGTACTACTGATCCAGAGCCAAAATGAAGTGTGCTGAGCTAATCTATTTTTGTTTTAATTTTCCTTTTTGCTTGAGCAATTATGTAAGGGGAAAAATTAGTGATGGAATGCTATCAAACCCATCCCAGGTTTATTAAAGATATAATAACATTGCTAATTAGTGGTTCCCAGAGCTGCCAACCATGCTCACCTTGGTGAGGCCCTATTTAGAAAGATCCTGAGCTCTAAATTCACTGTATGTATGGGCATGAAGGGGAGAGTTTCTACATAAATGTACAAACCTGTTCCTCATATTTAGGATCGGAACTCAAACGTAATTCTCCTTCCTCTTCCCAATTTTTTTAAACAATAAAGGGGAAAAAAGCAAACAGTTTTGTAAGTACCATTGCTTGAGAAGTGTGTGTTTTTTTTTAAGTGTGCCATACTTTTTTTTTTTTTAAACCATTTCTGTGTCAATGTCTTTCCCACCTAGCGTTATGTTTCCTGCTTTGCTGTTTTATGCCAGATTATTCTGGAAATTACAGCAACCGTTTGTGGGTAAAAGAAGCTGTCGAAATTTTTAATGTATTTATAATATCTATCTGCCAAGCTTGCTTGCTATTCAATTCTAGACCCTATAGCAAGGATTAGCTATATTTCATGAGTTACTCCTGACTGGCAAGATTGAGACCTAGAAGGTAGCCACATTTATCCTTCTGGTTTGGCCTTCACTTAAATTGCTTTCTCTGTGAAAGAGTGATGCTCATATGGCCCTCAGAGCAAAAGCGATGACATGTGAATTCTAATACAGTAGCGTAGGCCTTGTAAACCCATTGACCTACCATATAACATATTTTAGTAGCTGAAATTTGTGTTGGATGCTTTTAAGGAACATGTCCTTCTAATTTAGAAGCCTTTCAGTAATATCTACTTGGTAGCTTGCTATAGAAATATGGCTTACAATACTGCCAGGTTACCAGATGTTCAGATTAATGTGATGTTTGATGGAAGTCATGTGGCATCTGAAAATAGTCTCAGCAGAGATTTGAAAGGAATCAAAAACTAGCTGATGTGCCTTTGTTGTTGTTTTTAATTTTAAGATTGAATTAGAGTAATCCTCTGCCACCAACAATACATATTTGATAAAGGAGAAGAAAACACAAACCAACATAGCTTAGAATGTTTGTTTTTAGGAGGAAAGTAGATGGTTAATCCAATATTTTCTAAGGATGATGTTAGCTACAGGCTGAGGCCCTATGTACTGCATGTAGAATATGACCCAAAAGTTTGTTGCGGTTGTGATTTTAACATTAGGGTAGGGTAAATGCTGCTACAGCAAACCTGTTCTTCGTTTGAGCAGTGCTCTGAATATATGAGTTCAGTTCAAGATGTTGTTGGTGATCTCAAAAGATCTGAAGGATTTGGCAACCTTGCTGTTGAAAGGTCCAATTCAAACACTCTGTGTCCTCGTGGCAGACTGTCTTTCACAGTCTCCAAGGCATGGTGCAAAACACCTTTATTTTGTTTATCATTCCATTGTTTAAATAAACATATCGGCTGCTTCAGCACTAATCCCAATAGAAGTGAGTAAAATAACACAGGGTGACATTCTGTTAAGTGCCTGCACCCTAACAGTAGGAGAATTTGTTATAAGGTAAGGTAAGTAATAGGGAGGGTAAAACAAAGCCTCTTTTTGTGAAAGCTTGCCTTCAGTAACATTTCAACTGAATTAGATTGCACAGGAGCACTGTTCGAGGGTTTTGCCATTCTGATCTTATGCTGATAATTTGCTATCAAATATAAAAGTTAGATATTGAGAGTAGTAAACCTTTATCCTGAGTGTCTCTTGCTGCTTGTATACGTAAGGGGATGTTGTGAAAAGGGGATATTATTGGATTGCAGAGGATTGGAATTTAGTTATACTAACCCTGTCAAAGTTAACATCTGAGAGCTGCATGGTTACACTGTTTGTACGTTGGAAACATTAAATAAAACCGAAAGCAAGCTCTTTGAGTTATTGTCATTACTCAAAAAGAGAATAAGGGGCTTTTATGAGATTTTCTTATTGAAGCAGATGAGGAGAGTAGAATTTGGACCAACCACAGACTGTCCAGTTAGCCAAAAGGTTCTAGGAATTCCTGCCAGTTGTTAACAATGTAATAGCTGAGTAAGGAGCTGGTTACAAACTCAGGATGAACTTGAATTGCTTAATTACCCCCCGACTACAGACTAGCCGGTGATTAGTGCATACTACGGGTGCAGTTTGGATTTAAGCTATGCAGTAGTGTGTACATTTTCTAAAGCATGTTTAAAGATTAGAGAAAAAATGACTCACTGATCAGGGTTGGATTTTCCAGCTATTATCAAAATAAATAAAACATACATCAAATGAAGGCTACTGTTCCATCCTATTCTGAAAATATACACACAGTTTTGATCATGTATTTATCTGTGTCTCTCTCTTCTCTCATTTTCCCCAGGAAAAAATGTGTGATCTTAAGGTGGCACTCTTTTTTTAAATGATTTAAAGATTGTTTTCCTTTTTCTCCAAGTTGGTAAAATACAAAGCCACTTAAATTAGAATCAGCTAAAACTTAACCCTTCTATGGCATGGCGCTGTTCATTCCCGGGGCAGTGGCTTTTACAAATGTTCTTGTTATTTTTAATGAGTGTTCAAGCTACAGGATGTGTATGCACAGAGGCAGAGAAGTGCCCTTCCACCAAACTTGTCACAAATAATAAAGCATTGAAAAGGTTAATATGTATTTTTATGTATTTTAAGCCTTGGCAGGCACATTACTGTAAGCTTTGCATCTCTGTCATTTTAAAGATGGTTTTGAACAATCAGGTCTAGTTGTGATCATTATTTGTCTTGTTACTGCACACATTACTTCATCCCTTGGGGGGAAAAACAAAGCACAACAAAAACAGTCGCACTGGTGTTTTTATAACAAATCCTATCGGAGAAGAACCTGTGTAATTTAACTGTTGATCTTTAAATCTAGAATTCTCTCTCTTTACATATTTACTACACAGTGTGGAAGGAAACACAGTTAGAGGCAAGTTCAGTTATGCCTTTTCTTCCTCTTGCTCTGTTGTGATTAACTTTTACGTTTTAGCTTTTTCCTAATTAATTCTTTGCACTACCCTGGAATTCTTCACCTAAAGGAAGATTTCTTGCTTGTCTGAAATGTTGTCCTTTTTAATTTAGGTATTCTAAGTTTGATTTCTTTATTGTTTCTTACCTGTTAATCTGCAGGAACGACAGCACCAAATTTCAATGCAGACTTAACCATTATTCGCAAAAAGAAAAGGAGTGCGAATACAGACTAACACGGCTGCTACTCTGAAATTTAACCTTTATTGTATCTCCAATTGGTTGTACTCACAATTTCAATAATTTATGTTTAAAATCCCTGATTAGTAGATTAAATTAGGAACTCCTCTCATATACAAGTATCCTAAATTATGGTTCAAATAAATTAGTCACCTCAGCAATTAACTGTTCTCTCTCAAAAATGAAATCTAGTTTTTGAAAATCTGGCCCATGATACACATCAAATTTTAATGCTTTTAAAGAATATATAATACAATTTCTTTACAAACATTTTTGGACCTTATATAAATACAGGGAAGAAAAATCTTAAATGTATATAGAACTTTTCATTCCAAGGTGCTTTATAAACTATATACATACCAAAATCACATCTCCCTCAAGAATTTCTTGTGCAGAGAGTCTCCCCTAGGCTGGAACAATCTAAAAAGTATTGACAGAGGGGACCATGCACATGCATCTTTGTACATTAGAACGTTTTGCACAAGGGTATAGTAGTCAACCTTTAAACTCTAGAGTTTACATGAACTAAATTTATACACTTACCTCA